GGGACGGGGTGGTGGCCCCGAGGTGGCCTCAGGATGACAGGGACGTGTCCTTCTGTGTCTGCTGTGCTTGTGAACGCTGCAGGACCTTCTGGCTTTCCACGTCCCGGAAGTGTTTCTCCACCTGCAAGGCAAGGGGGAACCAAGGGGTTCAGGGGAGGAACCTGGGAGGGGCTGGGGAGCCCCAGGAGGGGCTGGGGACCAAGCAAGGAGGGGCTGGAGAACCTCAGGAGGGGATGGCGAACCCCTGGAAGGGCTGGAGGCCAAGCAAGGAGGGGCTGGAGAACCTCAGGAATGGCTGGAGAACCCCAGGAAGGGATGGAGGGCAAGCAAGAAGGGGCTGGAGAACCCCTGGAGGGGATGGGGAACCCCTGGAAGGGATGGGGACCAAGCAAGGAGGGGCTGGAGAACCCCAGGAGGGGATGGGGAACCCCTGGAAGGGATGGAAACCAAGCAAGGAGGGGCTGGAGAACCTCAGGAATGGCTGGGGAACCCCAGGAAGGGCTGGAGGCCAAGCAAGAACGGGCTGGGGAACCCCAGGAAGGGATGGGGACCAAGCAAGGAGGGGCTGGAGAACCTCAGGAATGGCTGGGGAACCCCTGGAGGGGCTGGAGGCCAGGCCAAGCCAGGAGGGGCTGGAGAACCCCTGGAGGGGCTGGAGGCCAAGCAAGGAGGGACTGGAGAACCCCAGAAAGGGCTGGAAGCCAAGCAAGGAGGGACTGGAGAACCCCAGAAAAGGCTGGAGGCCAAGCAAGGAGGGACTGGAGAACCCCAGAAAGGGCTGGAAGCCAAGCAAGGAGGAGTTGGAGAACCCCATGAGGAATTGGGGAGCCTCAGGAGGGGTTGGAGAAACCTCAGGAAGGGCTGGGGAGCCCCTGGAGGGGCTGGAGGCCAAGCAAAGAGGGGCTGGAGAACTTTAGGAAGGGCTGGAGAACCCCAAGAAGGTCTGGAGGCCAAGCCAGGAGGGGCTGGGGAACCACAGGAGGGGCTGGAGAACCCCAGGAGGGCAAGCCAAGAGGGGCTGGAGAATGCCAGGAAGGGATGGAGAACCCCAGGAAGGGCTGGAAGCCAAGCAAGGAGGGCCTGGCAAAGCCCAGGAAGGTCTGAAGAATCCCAGGAAGGTCTGGAGAATCCCAGGAAGGGTCTCAGGTGTCCCCAGGGAGGTGACACCCACCCAGTCCTTCCCAATGCCCCCATCCCCTGCTCACCACTCTGAGCACACAACTCAAAAAGAGGGATCTGGAGAGGGAAGGGGATGCCAGGAGGGGCTGGAGCCCAGCCAAGGAGGCTCCTGGCTGTGCCCAGGGATGTGCCACCCTCCCAGGACGTGCCACCCTCCCCTGTCCCCAACCCACACTCACTATTTTGCGTACGTGGCTCAGGGCGCTCCCCTCTTTGCCTTTACAGTTCTCCACCTGGTACGGAGGGGCAATGACGACTTCTTCCATCACAACTATGTTCTTCTCCTGCCATTTACAGTCCTTAATGCTGAGGGGAGGGACAATGGCATCAGGGACTGCCACCGCTGCCCCCTGAAGGGGCACAGAGCCCCCTGGTCACACCAGGGTCTGGCTGGAGAGGGGTGGGAGCCCAGAGGGGTGGGATGTGCCAGGCAGGGAGCCACCCTCACCCCCAAGGGAACATTCCAGGGCAAACCCAGCAATGGCAATCCCCCAAAAAGGCTGTGGGGGACCCCAAAATGAGCCTGGGGAACCTCTGGGTGGGCACTGGGGACCCCTGGGTGGGCACTTACGTCTTATGGATGGTCTGGAAGAGCTGCTGCCCCTCCAGAGAGACACCAGCACTAATTGCATATGCCTGGCTCATCTTCTCCTCCTTCTCCGTCCGTGCTTTGTTGGCAAGCTGGGGACACACAGGGACAGGGGTTGGGCTGGGAGCACTGAGGGGACACCCCAGGTATGGCTCTGCCCCTTGTGATTCCTGCCTAAATTCACCCTCAGCACTGCCAGGGCCTCCCAGAGATTTGGGGGATGGTGGTGCCCTCTCCTCACATCCCCCTGCCCCTTCCCCTCACCCTTTTCCGAATTAATTCTGGAATTTTAGGTGCAAACTCCCCTCGCCACTCAGTTCACTTGGGATGGAGATGAGGAAGAGGAGCCTGGAACACCCAGCACGCTGGGAGTAAATGCTCCACACAGGAGTAGGAGCAACTTTAGCCTGCAGCAGTTGGTTTGTTCCCAAAAAACAACCAGAATTGGTTATCTGGGAGCTGCATCCGTGTGTGGGGAGGTGTGATTACACACAGGGTGCTGGAATAGAGATGGAAAACCCCGACCCTGGCCTCCCCCAGGCTGCATCCCATGGATGTGGGAGGGGAAGGAAGCAGAGCCTGGAGGCAGCAGCCTTGGACCAGCTGCCTTTTCCTGGCTGGAGCTGCCGCAGTGGAGGAGCCACATCAGCATCATCCCTCCTCTTGCTCCTCCTGGGGCCTGCTCATTGCTGGGAGCACACCCAGAGCTGCTCTGGCTTCCTGCTGCTGCCTGAGGGGGTCTCAGCCCTTGGAAAGCCCCAGCTCCCTCTGACTGGGGACCCTTCAGTGCCCCTGAGGGACAGGAGTCCCTCTCCCAGCCATCCCCAGTGCCCTCCTGGTGGCAGCAGGCACTGCAGAGCACTGGGCTGTGCTCCCTGACTGCCTCAGCAGGGACAGGAGCCTTCCTCACCCTCACAACCTCACCACTCAGCCCATTCCATGTGGGAATGGCTCCCTCCAAAGCCACCAGCCAGGCTTCCAAACCAGGCACAACATTCCACAGGAACTTCCCTGGAGAAGTGGGAACCTCCCTCACCCCACTGGGATGGGCTGGAATTGTGGGACAGAGCCCTGAGAATCCCTTCTACCATGTCACCCCTGAGCAAATCCCCCTTCAGATCTGATCCCCCTTCCCAGCCTGAGCTTTAGATCCCCTGTCCCAGGCCCTGGGATGCTCCTCCAGCAGCTGCTGCACCCACACTTGGGGACAGCCGTGACAAGAGGCCACAGGGAGGTGACTGGAACCCCTGGAGAGGCGCCAGCAGCACCAGCCCAGCATTGCCAAAGGATCCATCCCTGTGCTCATCACCCCCTGCAGCAGGTGTCCCCCAAAGTCCCCAGCTCTCTGGGTTCCCTGGAGTGCTGCCAGCACTCCCATGTGCACACACCTCCTTCTCCCAGTACAACCAGTACCACCAGCAACATCCCAGTGCTGCAGCACCGTCCCAGCCCCCCATGGGGATGGGGGACAGTGCCCTCCTGCCACTGGAACAGCCCCTTCCAACCCAACTGCATCTGTCACCTCCCCAAATCCAAACCCACAACTCTGGGATGCTGGAAAAGTGAGCACTGGAATTCCTGGGGGGCTCCCCAAAGTGAACACTGGGATTCCTGAGGGGGTTCCCTGAAGTGAGCACTGAAATTCCTTAAGGGTTCCCCAAAGTGAACACTGGGATTCCTGAGGGGAATCCCCAAAGTGAACACTGAATTCCTGAAGGGGATCCTCAAAGTGAGCACAGGAATTCTTGAGGGGGATCCCTGAAATAAACACTGGGATTCCTGAGGGGGATCCCCAAAGTGAACACTGAATTCCTGAGGGGGATCCCCAAAGTGAACACAGGAATTCCTGAGGGGTTCCCTGAAATAAACACTGGGATTCCTGAGGGGGTTCCCTGAAAGGAGCACTGGAATTCCTGAGGGGTTCCCTGAATTTACCACTGGAATTCCTGAGGGGCTCCACAAAGTTAACACTGAATTCCTGAGGGGCTCCTCAAAATTCGGCCTTGGATTTCTGAGGGGGTTTCCCCAAGTTTACGGTTGATTTCTTGGGGTTTTTTCCCAAGTTTACCCCTGATTTCTTGGGGGGCTCCCTGAATTTCAGCCTTGGATTTCTTAGGGGGGTTCCCAAAGTTAGCACTGGAATTCCTGAGGGGGTTCCCTGAAGTTAGCACTGGATTTCTTGGGGGTTTTCCTTGATTTTACCCTTGAATTCCTGAGGGGTTTCCCTGAATTTACCCTTGGGTTTCTTGAGGGTTTCCCCAAGTTAGCACTGAATTTCTTTGGGTGTTTCCCAAAGTTAACACTGAATTCCTGAGGGGTTCCCTGAAGTTAACACTGAATTCCTGAGGGAGTTCCCCTCAGGCTGAGCTCCCAGCCATGTCACTGGCTGCAGTGACAGCCAGCAGTCCCACCGTGGTGGCAGCTGTGTCATTTGAGACCTGGATGTGTTAATCCCTCGGGAAGGGACCCAGGAGGGCATGGACACCCAGCTGGTGCCACCTGTGTGGCACAAAGCCCCGGGAGAGGTGTCCCTGTGGCACAAGGAGGTGACAATGAGCACCCCACACCTGGATTCACCCCAGCACTGAGGGCTCGGGGTCACCTTCCCTGCTTTTCACCTCACTGGGAATGGGCAGTGATCCCATTCCAGGATGGATGGAAAGCAATTCCTCAGAATTCCAGGAGCTCCCCTTTGTGTGCACTCCAAAATCTAGATCCAAAATAGCCTCATCCAGACCCCAAACACCACCACCTGGGCCCAAACGACCAAAACCCAGGCTCCAGACCCCTCAAAATGCAAACCCCAAAACAAGATCACCTTAGACCCCAAAAATACCAAAATCTGGGGCCCCAAACGCCAAAAATCTAAACATAAACCCCAAGCCCTAAATGCCAAAACCCAGACGCTAAACCCAACAAAATCAAGGCTCCAAACCCCTCAAAATGCAAACCCCAAAACAAGATCACCTTGGACTCCGAAAATACCAAAATCCGGGTCCCCAAATGCCAAAAATCTAAACATATATATATACATATATATATATATATATATATATATATCTACATATAAAATCCAGGCCCCAAAACCCAGGCCCTAAATGCCAAAACCCAGACCCTAAACCCAACAAAATCCAGGCCCCAAATGCCAAAACCCAGAGCCCAAAGTGGTAAAACCCAGAGCCAAATCACCAAACCCCAGATCCAGGATGGAACTCCGGGAAGCTGCGCTGGGGGCAGCTCCAGTGGTGAATCCTGCTGGATCCTTGGAGAATTTTAGGGGATCCCTGCAGGATTTTGGGGGAGCCCTGCTGAGGAGGGGCTTTCTCACCTTGCTGACGTTGAGGGAGGCTAAAGGGGGAGGCGTTTCCGTGCGGTCATTGATTATTTCCACTTCTGACACGTACTGTAAGTTTACGAGCAGGATGTCTGCGTGGTTGGGCTTGCCACTGGAAGAGGGGCATTCTGCAGGAGGGCATTAAGGAAAACAAATCCACAGAGAGGTTTGTGTAGGTGAGGAGCAAACCAGGAGGAGGTTGGGGTTTTGGGGAGCTCCTTTGCTGCCTTGGGATCGTCAGTGATCCCATCTCATCTCCCTCTGCAGCTGTGGGTGATTCTGGTCTATCCCAACTCCAGATCAAGTTCTCCAGTCTGGCCCACCAACAACCACCACTGGTTTGAACCAGCACCACCAAATTTGCACTTTTTCCACCAAAATTCTTTTCCTCCTGCAGGCAGCAGCATCCCCAGGGAGGATTCTCTTCTCTAAGGAAAGGGATTCCCAGGAGAGGGACGCACAAGGTTGGTTGTTGGGAATGGGACAGCACCCAAAAAAACCCCCAAAACACTCCTTTCTATTGGGAATGAGATAGCAACCCAAAAAAACCACCCCAAAACACTCCTTTCAGAGCTGATTCCTGCACAATTCCTCTGCTCCCATGAGGATGGATGGATGGATGGATGGATGGATGGATGGATGGATGGATGGATGGATGGATGGATGGATGGATGGATGGGGCAGGAACAGCTGGACTTTGGGAAGGGCTGGCTCAGCCCCCTGTGGGGCTGACAAGCAGCACTGAGCAACCTGTTGGACCCTCTGGGATTTTCCTGCTGCCTCCAGTGGGACCTGGGAGCTCTCATAGCTCCAACCACATCCCAGGCACCCAGAGGGCCTTTTCCTGTTCTGTTTCCCACAAAATCCTCTCTCAGCTCCTCATTCCCTGCAGAAGCCACCCCTGGCCCCCCAGAACTCCAACGCCAGCCCTGAGCTGAGCATTCTCCTTCCTCCATCTCCTGGGACCCTCCACTGCTTTCCAACAGCCCTCAGCTTTTCCCGTAACTTGCAGATTCCAAACAAAACCACATCCATGGATATTCACACTGGGCGGGCAGGGAACACCCCAGTGCCCCCACTCACCCCAATAAAAGGCTCCCCAAGCCCCCCATAGTGAATGCCACAAACCCACTCACCCCACTACAGGGCTCCTCACTGCTGCCCCCAAAAAAACCTCCAGGACTCCACAGTCCCCCCCATTCTCCACAAAACTGGGTGCTCTCTCTGCCCCCATTCAAACCAGTACAGAGCTCCCTACTGCCCCTCTAAAGCTCTTTATAGTACAGGGCTCCTCCATCCCTCATTCACCCCAAAACCAGCCCCAAATCCCCCCATTCCCCCTAACACAGGCTCCCCAGTCCCCCCAGAACAAACCTCCTCACTCCCCCCAAAATCTCCCTACAGGACACCCCACATCCCATTCACCCATTACAAGACCCCCAACTCCCGCATTCACTCCAGCTCGGGGTTCCTCAATCCCCGCTCCCCCGGCTACAATCGCCCCAGTCTCCTCATTCACCCCAACACAAACCTCTCCAATCCCCCCAAAATCTCCTTACAGGACACCCAACATCCCATTCACCCATTACAAGACCCCCAACTCCCCCACTCACCAGAGCTCCTCAATCCCCTCTCGCCGGCTACAATCGCCCCAATCCCCGCACACAGCGCTCCCCAATCCCCCCATTC